GCTTCAACCTTCAGAGGCTTAACAATTCTTCGGTTAGATCATCTCTGTTTTACCATATTTCCCTTATAGGTTTATTCTCTTTATCATTTTTCACTTGTCATCTCTCCCCTCCTCCTAAGAGAATGTTTCAAGATAGTTTCCACTTTAATTTTCCAAAGTTACAGATCAATCTTCCGTTGCTTCTAGATTTAATGTGGTCCTTACTTCCTTGTAGTCTTCTCAGTTTGCCCCTCCCCATTGGATACAGCATATTTCTTTGCATTTTATTAGATCATCTCTTCAACTTAAGAAATTCTTCCCTCATCTCATGGAGGGCAAGTCTTTCTTCAACCCACTTCATCAAAGAATGAGTTGTCTTTTAGGACATAAGTGCTTATTTTCTGCAATATTTTTGGTGCTTTCATCTTATGATAGACAGAATAACTGCTCCCCAAAACTGCCCATCTCCTGACGCATAAAACTTTTGTTTTCCTATGTGGCAAAAAGAAGTCTGTAGATGTGCTTAAGTTAAGGATCTTGTGATGGAGAGATTATCCTGGATCATCTGGGTGAGCTCCATATCATCACAAAGGTTCTTACAAGAGGAAGACAAGAAGGCCAGAGGAGATGTGACAGTGGAAGCCAGAGAGAGAGGTGAAGATGGCTGTGAAGATGGAGGAAGCATCTGTGAGTCAGGGAATGCAGGGAAACTCCAGAAGCTGAGCAAGACGTGAAAACGTATCCCCTGAGACCCTTTAGGGCTGGAATATGGCTCCGCTGACACCTTGATTTTGGGACTTCTGACCTCCAGAACTGCAAGAGGAAACCTTTTTTGTTTGTTTGTTAAAGCCACCCAATCTGTGACAGTTTGTTACAGCAGTAACAGAAAACCAACCCCTAGTTCATGTGCAAGGCCCTCTGCAGATGTGATTCAGGTTGTGGGCTCTCAGATGGGGAGCTAGCCTAGACTGTCTAGGTAAGCCAGATCTGATCACTTGATCCCTTATAAACCTAGAAGTGTGCCTGGTTGAGGCAGGGAGATGCAACAGAAAAGAGCAAAGGAGAAGAGAAACACAGGGGTAAGTGAGAGAAACAACTCAACACATCATTACTGGATTTAAAGATGGAGGAAGGGGCCACAAGCCAGGGCATGCAGGCTGTGCCTAGCAGCTAAGGCTGGATGGCCACTGGTTGAAGCCTGAAAGGAAACATATCTCATTCTTACATCCACCAGGAACTGAGCTCAGCAACAACTGAAATGAGCCTGGAATTGAATCCCTTCCTAGATAAATAGGAAACAGAAGGATAGGGCCCTCTTGACTCCTTGATTCTGGCCCTGTGAAGCCCAGAGCGGCAAAACCAGCCAAACTCACTGAAATCAGACCTAAAGCACTAATATAACAACATTATTTATTTATTTAATGTGACTATGTTTATGGTAACGAGTTATGACACTAATTGCAAATGAATCCATACCTTAGGTTGCAAAACTCAAACTGATTCACTCTCAGTGGGGTCTACTACCGGGTGATTTGTGAGTTAGTAATTCGGCGGCCTTGATTACATGGTCAGGGATCTAAATTCTTCAACCCTTTTGTTCTGTTATTCTTGAGATGTTAGCCACCTCTGCCACAGGTCTCAAATGGCTGCAGCCACTCGATGAATCCCTTTCAGAAAAGGAAAAAGATTTTCTTCTTAATGCACCTCTTTTTAGGGGACTATTTAGTAGATAGTCCACCCCATTTCTCTAGTTTCACTAGAACAAACAGTGATCAATGCAGAACTAAATTTTCCCAGCTGAAAAGATGTGTGGATTAGTCTGAGTCTAGTTTAGTGTCCATCACAATGAAAAATCACAGTAGAGACATGAGTGTTTTAAAAATAATAATAATAATAACAACAACAATAATAATAATAAAGACTTGAAGATCAAGATTGAGCATAAACTGTAAAAAGTTTAACTCCAAAACAGGGACCTCCAATCAAGGGAAGAGTCTATGCTCTGGGAAACAAGATTTAGAAAGAAATGGGGTCGTTGAAAGTCAGAAGACCATGAAGTGTCTCTGTTCCATATTAGGAAAGCAACATCTCAGATGCATAGCTGAGCTTGAGGGTAGGCAAGCACTGGGCTGCCTGGAGATGGTGTACCATGAGTGGGGATGCCTCTGCTCTGTACATGCGCTACCTATTTTGGAACTGAGGTATCCAGCTCACTGCTGCTGCATACTTGATGCACCCATGTTGGGTCTGCACTGCTTGCTGACCAGGTTAGGATTTAGCGGTATGGGAAGAAAATTTGTCTTGGCCTTAGGAAATCTTCTGGCTAGAGAGAAAAAGGGAGGGTGGGGAAAGAACAGGAGGCAAGAGAAGAAAAGAGGAGAGGAGGGGCAGGACTGGGAGAGAAGGTGAAAAAAAAAGTGTTTTAAATTAAATTTTGCATCTCATTTCTCCACTTAAAACCCTTTAATGCCCTACTAGTTAATACCAACAGTCATGTTTGCCCTTTGCCCAGTTTTATTCTGCTCTCCACCTAGATCTTACATGATTCTGGCAATCCTAAATGAATTGATTGAAGTGGTCTCCTTCTTTTTTGTCAGTGATTATTTCAGTAGTTGGCTTGCAACCCAGTTCCAGTCGATGAGATAGATCAGAAGATGAGCTAAGGAGCTTGGCAGAGCCTAGCATGGCTTGCATTTCCTGCACATTTGAGACCCTGACAGCATTCCTGGCTTCCTCTGATACCTCTCATCCCTTCTATCTCTCTGTTGTGGCTACATTGAACTTTTTCAATTACTCCAAAGTTCTAAAGTCTCTTGATACTAGAATTTATTCATATTGTATTCTCATTTTCTTCCTTTCCACAATACCCGGCCCTCCCCCTCTCTCTCTGATTAAATGTTACTTCTTTAAAAAAAGTCTGTCTTATCACCTAGGCTACATCAGGTTGACATGTGTTTTCCCATTAGCACCCTTTCCTACATGAATCCATTCAAAAAATGTTAATTGCTTTTTTTATTGTCGGTTTGTAAGCCTTCTCCACAGTGATAATCAGTGAACAAAGCCGATCTGGCCTTTGCACTCATTATCGGTGAGGTTCTCAGTGAATGTCTGTATTCCCAGCTGTACCCAAGATGTACAATCATACCCAATATTTAAATTGAACAGATTTTCAGTAAGCACATAGAACAGCCTGCACAAGTGGGCAGACGTTCCAGTTCTCATTGCTGCTGACTGGCTAGACTTATCCTTAGGATGGTGGGATTTGGGCACACTTTGGTAAGAAAAAAGACCTACTCTTTGGCAAGAGACATTAAAGGTAAATCCTTCTCTTGAAGCATGTTTTGTGGATTCTTTCAGGTCATATGCTCTCTGCCCATCACAGGGTCTCTCCCCTGCTGTGTTTCTGGCACGGGCAATGACAGGTCTCAGCTTTTGAAATTCGGGTGGTACACCTTCTTTGGGGAGTTTACTTACCCAATCAGGATCTGGCATGATCCAACATGACCCCTGGGCTATTTCTCTCACGCATAACCCACATCTGGTCTTGGTGAAACAGCTATTTTCTGCTCTTACCAATTAGCTCCCTAAATTGTCTGAACCTTTTTCCCATGAAGTTTCTTACACAGCATATTTCCAAAACAACATGACTTAGATACCAGTCCATTGTGTGTCCTAAGCCCCAGAGTTCACAAATCAAGCTCTTTAAGTTTCCCATTCAAGCCCCTTGCTCTTTGTGACAAGAACAGCCCACTCTGGCTGTTGGACCCTGTCCACATCCCTTTCACTAATATCCTTTCACCCATATCCCAGTTGCTGTATTGGCTGCTAACCACTCTTCTACCTTCTCCAATGAGGCCCCACTTGTAGGATGGGCCTCTCATGTCCCACATCAGCCAGTGGCCAATGACTTACTGGCATGGGGCCCAAAAGGTCAGACCCCCTATTTCAAAGTGAGATCACACTGTGGTGCAACCCATGCTCCAGAGCCCATGTGAGGTGAGGCCAGAATCATCCCCCGCTGAGTCTACATCCTTGCCTGACTCATTCCCTCGTCCCATCCTGCTGCCCTCTCATCCTATCTCCTAAGAGCACCGTCTCAGTAAGTCACTGCACAAGGTTCTCTATCTTCAGCTCTGTTTCTTGGGAATCCAACCTAAGACAGAGCTCCCCACCCACAGAAGCAGGTCAGGTGGGAGCCATTCACAACACACTGACAGCTCTCTTCAAAAACCTCTTCTAATTTACACCTGGCTACATCCACCTCTATGTGCCCTTCAGGAGCCGCAAGTGGTGAGTGTCAAAGGTCCCCAAGTGGGTTTTTGCCACCAACTTGTTAAGTCAAACACAGATGCCTTATTTTGGAATACAGGAGATATTACTGTCTATTTGCCTGGAGATAGAAATGAAATATTTGTCTTTGACTTCCTGCTATTATATGAGGCACCTATAAAATTCCAGGCACATGATAGGAACCTTCTGAATGACAGCTATCATTTTGGTTCCTTAAAATAATGTATTAAAAACTTGCACTCCACTTGCCAGCCTCTGTAATTAGTATTTTATTTTCTCACTCTGTCACAGTATAGTTAAGTTCCATTTTATTGATCCTTATTCATAAAACTGAATCCCAGAAAATATTTACTGTCCCGCCCTAGGTCCAAAGCCAGATTTTCACCTAACTTTGGTGTGTATGTGTGGAAAATGGGCTGATGGTCTTTATCACTTTTTTAAATTTTTATTTGTACTTTTTAGTTGTATATGACATTAGAATCTATTTTGATATCATTATACAAACATGGAATATATCTTACTCTAATGAGGATCCCAGTCTTGTGGATGTACATGATGTTGAGATACACTGTTTACATTTCCCCCCACACACACACACTCCACCATCACCCGGCCTGAGCCCTTCTTGCTCCTGGTTTGGTGTTCCCATGACCTCAAGCAGCAGTGACTTGCAGGTTCTTGCTTCTTTCCTGTTGACACTAGTCTTTTGTTTCTTCTTCCTGGGACCTCAGATCTGTGTGACTTCAGAAGAAGAACAAGACGGCTTTATCAGAGTGCTTAGTGGAAAGAAGAGAGGCCTTGTCCCCCTCGATGTCCTGGAAAATGTCTGATTGCTGACCCCTCCTCCTTGTGCAGCAGACCAGCTCTGCTGCGATGCCGATGCCGTCTGCTCATCTCACTGTGTCCACCCAGAGGAGCTGTCGCACTGACCCGGCCCCCCACCCCGGAAACAGGGAGACAAGACTGGAGGATCTGAGACTGTAGAGCAGCAGAGGGCCCAACACAAAGCGCATCCAGGCTGCTAGAGGTGGGGATGAGGCTGAGATTCGGCCAGCATACCTGGGGGGCAGCAGGGCCCTAGGCCACAGCTGCCCCAGGACTCGGCTCCTTCCCTGCCCGTGTGGTGTAAGTCAACCGGCTGGAGGGTGCTCCAGTCTATGGTGTGGCCCCAGCGCGAGGTTCAGTTCTGTGTAACCGAGTGTTGTTCTGGTTCCAGACCTTTGTCCCCAGTACTGCCCAATCAGCATCATCACACTTCAGACTCCAAGCAGTCAGTCTCTCTGCGGAGACTCCAGCTCCCAGCGTTCCAGGGATTATTCCTTCTCCTCAATCCTCCCAGCAGTCCTGGTGACGTGCATCAGATGTGAGGGCTGAGTTGACCTGGCACCAATGGCAAAGATCTGAGGGCTGCTTACAGGCAGTCCTGGCTGCTCTGGTTACCAATAGAGGTAACCAGATCTGAGGCACAGATAGAAGCAGCGAGGAGCATTGGGGGTAAGGGGGACAAAAATCCCTTATTTATTGAGGATGATACAGTCCTTTCAGTTATAAAGTCCTTTCCCAAAGGATAGGGAGCTGGGAGAGAGAATGTGGAGAAAAGCATCCATTTTCATTTTATAGCCTCTGTATTGGGGACAGCATTTTCCCCTTATGCCATCCTGTAGGAATCTATTTTGGAGGTGGAGCTCATCTTGCAGGGAACCAGGAACAGGGAGGGGAACCAATAACAGCATATTAGAAGAAATTGGAACGCATTTTTTCTTAGGTCAGTATATCATACCCCAGCAGGCATACAATAGAAAGGAATCCTTAATGCTTCATCCCTCTGAAAGCAGAGGAATTTGGGGCCTATTTAGCATCATCAAGGGGAGTCTAGAATCTCTATTACTCTGTACTTGTACTAATGTTTACAAGAATACAATATACTGTGATGCCTTCCTCCTCAAGCCTCCTCCTAGCATTCACACTTGCATCCTAGAAGTCATTCACACGGTTAAACTTCAATGCACAATGACCTTGGAATCAATGTCAGTTTGGTTTATTTTGTTACAGAGCAATAAAATCATTAGAATAATTGGTTTTTAAAAGACTTAAGTGGATGCATCCTGTGCATGTAAGCATTATTTCTCAAACCAAAGCATCATTAGTCTCCATTTATTTCTTTTGCTACTGCTCAGCATGAAGTTGGGAGCTGAGATGGGGTGGCTGCTGGTTTCACAGTAGTTTGGATGCCTTACTCTCATTTTAAAGCCAGCATCCAGAGTTTCCTCCCTTTCTGAAACAACAGGCAAACCCAGGTGGATAGAGTCAAGATGGATTCTTTGAAAGCCCACACAACTGCCTTTCTGTAACAGTGAATGCCGAGTATCAACGCTCTTTGCCTCTAATTGAATTTTCCATATAATAAAGACAACACAGTGGCTGGAAGGAGCATAGAAAACATGTGTCCTGATCTCTTCTTTCTGGGCCATATCCAGGGAATTATTTTTAGTACAATGGTGTCCAATTTGCATTTTTAAAACATCAGTTTGCCTTTTTAAGTTGAATGGAAGGAGACTGTAGTATCCAGCCTCCAAGATGGTTCCCCATGATACCTACCTCCTGATGTTCTTCCTTTTGTGTAGCCTCTTCCCAGATTGAATCAAGGCTGATCTCAGGTGGCCAATGAAATACAGTATAGGTCATACTACATGACTTCAGTGTGAGGTCAAAAAAAAAAAATCTTTGCAACTTCTGCCTTGATCTTCTGGAACACTCGCTGAGACCCCATGTAAGTTTACCTACCCTGAGGCCATATGCAAGAAAGACCCAGAGAAGACAGCACACCTTTCAACAGCTGAGGTCCCAGACATCATATAGTAACTATGAATCATCTTTGCCGAACCCTGCACACACTACAGAGTTATGAGCAAGATAAATAGGGAGGATATTTTTTTTAGTCACCAAGTTTTAGAGTTATTTGTTAAACAGAGACGGTGGAATGAATCTGACACAACTTTACTATGTACATATATGAATACACCACAGTGAAACTCAACATGATGTACATCCCCATGACTGGGATTATAATTAGAATAAAATATATGCCATGTTTGTATAAATATGTGAAAAAGACTCTACTGTCATGTATAAGTAAGAAGAACAAATAAATTTTTTTTTTAAAAAAAGAAGGTCACTAGAACAGGACTTTGTCATTTGAGTCAAAGACACAATGAGACCCAAAATCTTTGCAATCATCAAGTATTTGCAAGCAGTTAACTCTCTGAATGCAAGATGTCTAGTGTTCCCTAAAGATGGCCAGGGATAGTTCTCACACACACAGATTTTAGCAATCAGAATTCCCCTATGCATCTCCAGAAATGACAAGAACAAAGATAGTTATGACCTACCAGAGCCTTAAGATTTCCAAGACTCAAGAAGTGGCTAGGGCTGGAGATGTGGCTCAAGTGGTAACACGCTCACCTGGCATGCGCGGGGCGCTGGGTTCGATCCTCAGCACCACACAAAAATAAAATAAAGATGTTGTGTCCACCAAAAACTAAAAAATAAATATTAAAAAAAATTCTCTCTCTCTCTCTCTTAAAAAAAAAGAAGAAGAAGTGGCTAGAATGGAGATGAGGTGAGGACCCCAAGAGTAACCACTGATGAGAGGACAGGGAAGAAGGGAAAAGAATTTAAAGAAAAAAAAGTGAGTCTTGGAATACTAGGTAGAGTGTGAAGGAAGATCCTTGTGCTTCCTCTTCTCCTGCCCCTGCCACCAGCCAAGGGATGACACATACCTAATTGTACCAGGGAAGCTATGCCCTACATTGACCACTAGTGCTGAAGGACTTACTTCTATCTTGGAAAATTTGAAATGAAAATTGATTGAATATTCCTCAGGGCTCCAAAAAGTTCAGAATAGAACTTCCTTCACCCCATCCCTAGCAGGTTATCTGTGGCACCCTAATGTGGGCAGTAGGACTGCAAAGAAAGCCCACATTTAGATTCCATATGGCTACCAGTAGTGTTGACCTCATAGACTATTCTTCCTTCCCAACTATACACCAAATGCATGCATGCCCACATCCCCCACTCACCCACTCCCAGAAGAATTCAAAATCTGGGTTACATATTTAAAGCTACAAGTAGAATAATAAATGATACATGCTAAGAGCTTACTTGAGTTAATACTCTTTGTTATTAAAGGGAAAACTTTTGATGGGAAGATCACACATGCAGATAGTCTGGTAAAGAAAAAAAGAAAAAGAAAAAGAAAAATCACCCCTGATGTCCAAAAACTGGTTCAAGTGTCTAGCTGCTTCAAAGAGAAGAGACACAGGAAGGAAATCTACTGGCCTGCCCTTAACTACAGTGCCTCCAGGCAGGTCCAGGCAAAAAACAAAACAAACAAAAAAAAATCTGTAACTGCATGCTCCAACAGAAGCTTTTATTTAAGTTACCTGACTTCTTTACTCAGAACTTCTCAGAGTCTTTCATTTGCTAATTCTCATGATGGATATTCCAAAAAGTGGATTTAGAACTATGGAGAACTGCTTAGCCCCCATTCCAGGAAATATAGTTGGGAAAGCTCTGCCGTAGAGAGTTCTCATATTATATAGAATCGTAATAATCTCAAGGCTCCTAATATCCTCTCTCCCTACATTTCACTGGGATCCTTATGAAGTACTGAAAAGGACAAATGCACACAATCATATTGATAATTAAGCCTTGAAAGAACATCTGCTCTGGAACCTGAAATTATAAGGGAGTAGGAGAATGGAAATCTATATATTCCAGGGTTAGAAAACTTGGAAAGAAGAGTAGTTTTGCTGTGGTCTGAAAGCTTTAGCACATGCTAACAGACAAGCAGGGACGAGGCTGGTGTAGATCTGGGAATAAAAGTTCAACATTCCCCAAAATAACATCCCCAGGAAACTCAGCGAGCAGGTGTGCTTCACAAATTTATCACAAAACAAAGACCCTTAAAAATAACTTGGATAGAAAATCAAAACTAGTAAATGACACCCTCTAACCATCACTGAGATTTTTCTCAGTTGCCATTCTGTTGTGTTTTGTTCAACACCTGGTGTTTTTGACCCTTAGAATGTATTCTTTCTTAGCTTCCAATATGGCATTTTAAACAGTCTTCAATCTTTTTTGTGGGTAATACAAACTTCTAATCTATCTTGAAAGTTTAATAAGATAATGGCTATTTATTTTAATAGTTCCCTTTTAAAATTGAAAGACTGGTAGAGTTTTTTATCATCTTGTCAAATTTAAATAGCTGTTGAACACCTTCCATGTCTTCATGGAAATTTGGATGTACTGAAGCCTTTAAAATGCAGCCTGGAAAAGTAAAAGACCTATTTTCAAGAGCAATGGTGGTTGTGATTAGAATCATTCCATTCACATCACTTACTCAGGCCCTGGGGTTACCCTCCTAATTTCACCTTTTTCTAGACATGGGAGAAATTTTTCTTCCTTCTACAGCTTCTCAAAGCCTATGTACTTATTTTATTAACCCTTATTTTCACTGAAGTAAAAAAAAATCATCTGAGGTTACGAATCTTCCTCTGAGTTTAGCTTTAACCACATTAAGTAGCTATTTTTTATTTGCATTCATTTCTAAATGCTCTGTAATTACACTTTTGATTTTTCTCTTTAGCTTTTTATTTCATGTATGTGCACATAAATAAGCCATTCATTTTACATCGTGGCCAGAAAATATGGTCTGTATGGTTTCCACTTTGAGAAATTAATTGGCATTTTAATTTGTGCTAATAATATATGACTAATTTCTATAAATGTCCAATGGATGTTGGAGGAAAAGTCATGTCTATAGGGTGTGTGTGTGTGTGTGTGTGTGTGTATAATAAATCTTTAAAGTATTCAGGTTATCTATGTTCTTATTTGCTTCTGTTCATGTACTCTATCAAAGACAAAGAAGTCAAGACCAAGCAACAGTATGGCTGAAATGAAAGACACTTTGCAAGGACCTGAAATCAATTCCTCCTTGTCAGCCTTGGAGGAAAGAAATGAC